CTGAGTCAACCTTGAGCGGGTCAGGATCGAACTGCTGGCAGTGGGCAGAGCCATCCTGTAATCCTGCATTCTGATCACTGCACTACCATGGCTCATGATTCTCTGGTTCTGGTCTTCACCTTTAGAAGAACCTCTCAGAACCGAAGTGCAGCCGAGATGATGCAGCCGGTCAGAAAAACGAGTTCTTGGAAACCCACACGAAGGATAGGTGACAGATTTGAGCATATCACAGTCTAGATCAGAAAAGCCAAAGGGGAGACGTGATGGCTGCCTCCATACATCTGAAAGTGATGTCATGCAGAAGCTGGAACAGACTCATTTACTGGTGATTCAGAGGGCAGGGTGAGGCATAGTGGATAGAAATGGCATTATTAAACTATAAATGTCCAGTGTACAGCTTAGGGGAGGCATCATCTTTGCTCAGATATTTAAGACTGGGTCAGAATGCCTTAGGACCACCCCCAACACAGGAAGTGTTAAGACAAATGCTAGAGTGTCGTTTTCCAAGGATGCTCCTAATGGCATGTTGTGCCAGTGAATCAGATAACATGCATATGTGTGTAATAAGATAAATACAGCACATTTCTTTTGCGTGGTGAGTTTGGCTAAAGATCTGTTCTGTTGCTGAAGATTACATAATATAAAAGGCTGCCTTGAGAACTATAAATACAGGCAATCTTCCACTTACAACAGTTCGTTTAATGACTGTTCAAAGTTACAAAGGCACTGGGGAAAAAAAGCAACCTATGACCATTTTTTCACACTTACGACCGTTGTACCATCTCCATGGTCATGTGATCAAAATTTGGACACTTTGGCAACTGGGTCATATTTATGACAGTTGCAGTGACATGGGAACAGTTTTTGCGACCTTCTGACAAGTAGTCAATGGGGAAGCCACTTCACAAGTGTGTTACTGACTTAACAACTACAGTGGTTCACTTAACAAGTATGGTTAAGGTTGTAAAATGGGGCAACACTCACTTAGCAAATGTCCCGTTTAACAATATAAATTTTGGGCTCGATTGTGATCGTAAGTCGAGGACTACCTGTAGTGAATAAATAAGCCATTGGAAATGGGAAACTGAGCCACATCGGATGTTGAATTTTCCTCATTTGTTCTAATCTAAGTGAAGGAATTTTCAAACGTCTTCACAGTATTTGATTTAAAATATTTTAAACACAAACGGATATTCCTGGCATGATAATGTTGAGTTAGATTGCCTGTTGGAGTTGAGCTTACCTATTGAGTTTTTCATGGATTTCATTCTCAATAGTGGTCGGGAAGAAGCAGGCTTAAACTATAGCTTGTACGTGGAACGGGTACGGTATTATTTTTTGGCTGTGTTTGCACAGAGGAAGCTTGGTTAATTTTAAGGTCACTGTATTAATCCATTCTGCCACCTGATTTTGCACAACACACTGAATCACAAAGCAACAAAGTGTTTTGAGATTGCACAACAATGAACTCTTTCACAGAAGATAACAACCAGTATTAAAACTAATCAAATTTATCTAGAGTCAGTTGGATTGAGATGGGCAGCTATAGAAAAACGAATAAACAAAAGAAAATAAAATGATAGACAAATTCACCCAAATATTCAAATTGGCCTCTGATTTATTCGTTGGGTCTTAATTTTGAATCAGAATGAATTAAAACGATGACTATTTTCTTCAGAGGGGTAGAAGAAGCGCGGTGGCTCACGAGGTTAGAATGCTGGGCTGACGATCATCAGCCTTGCATTCGAGACCCGTTCTTCTTCTGGGACAGGGTGAGCTCCCATCACATGCTCCAGCTTCCGCCGACCCAGCGGTTCGAAAGCGGGCGACGGAGAGTAGATCAATGTGTACCACTTTTGGCGGGCAACTTTGCAGGGACGCAAAAGGAGCCCCCAACTGGGCATCCCCGGGCAACGACGATGTCACCGGCAGATCCTTTCACCACACTAACGTACAGAGAAGTAGAGAAATTGAAAACTGTTTATTTCTATGTGCATTAGAGTTCATATATGGAGTGGTGTGGTGGCTCTTGCCTCACAATCAGGAGGCTGTGAGTTCGATCCTAGGTAGAGGCAGATATTTCTCTCTCTCTCTGGGCACACTTAGAATGTATCTGCCGAACAAAACTCCTCATGGGTGACAGGGAGGATATCTGGCCATTAAAACGCTCTGCTCACTCCATTCAGTTGCCCAGGCTCCACCCCTCGAGGGATTATGGGGGTCGTTAAATGAAGATGATGATTAGCGTTCATATATATTTTAGTTTGTTTTTTTTCTGATGTACATAGACTTCAAGTGACACGGAAAATTGCTTCCTCTAGGTCTCATATGCAGATATCCAGAAAAAGACTACGATTCATTTCCCCTACCAGAGTCGGTCCCTCTCTTTTGTTTGCCAATGGGGGCAACCATTGAATGCTGGCCTTCCAACAGCAAATATCCCCTCCCAGTATTTTCTACGTTTGTCCTCACCGGAGCCTCCGCTGAAAAGGTACGATCCATTTATCCTCAACTGTCATTTCAGTGTTTATGGGGATTCTCAGTCCTCCAGGTCCTGGTTGTCCCAAAGGTGCAACTGGACTTTCTTTGCTTTTCTTTGAGGACGTTTTGCCTTCTCATCCAAGAAGCTTCTTCAGCTCGGACTGGAGGGTGGGGAAGGGAAGGATTGATATACTCCTTGTAGATAGCTCATCCTTTGCATCCTTTTAGGGCGTCATTGAGGCCTCTTGGAGAGGTTAATCTGTGTCCTCAGGGTCACCTGAGTGATGCTCCTGGTTCCTGTAGTCTGCAATTTTTCCCTCTGGAAATCCATTCCTACTCTTACACCATTCCAAGGGTGTTCATCCCAAATTGTATAGCTAAAAATCTGTAGAGATTCTCAGTCATCCAGGTGATGGTTGTCCCAAAGGTGCTTTTTCAGGAGGCAACTGGACTTCCTTGTTTCTTCTTTGAAGATGTTTTGCTTCTCCCCCAAGAAGCTTCTTCAGCTCTGACTGGAGGGTGAAGAAGGGAAGGATTTATATACTCCTTGCAGACTGCTGGTCATCTGCATTCTTTTTGAGAGTCCTTGAGGCCACTTGGAGGTTTGTCTGTGTCCTCGCGGTCACCTGAGTGGTGCAAATGGGTGTGGAGCCTTCTTGGAACGGCTGAAAGGACTGTGGTTGTGGAGTTGTGCTTTTTGCAGGATGTTTTCTGCCCTGTGTCCCTGTTGAAGGCAGGTGCAGGCTGTTGGGGAGGAGTCTGTGTTGTCTCCATCTCAATCTGAAGCGCAAACGGTTCCTACAGCCTGCAGTTTTTTTTTCTGCAAAACCACTTTGGTGTTTGTTATTTTGCTTTTTCTGAGTTTGATCAGTTAGTTAAAAGAGCTGGAAGGCTGGAAGCTTTTTCTAAAGTGACCATTGGTTCACTTATGCCTTTGTTATGCAGCCATTCATTCTCCCACCCCACACACCCCTGCCGTCCTTGTCTCTTTGCTACATTCAGCTTATCTATCTTTCTTTTTCTCTCCTACAAATGCAGGCAGTCCTCGACTTAAAACCATCTGTTTAGTGACCGTTCAAAGTTACAATGGCATTGAAAAAAGTGACTTACAACCAATTTTTTTACACTTAAGAGAGATGCAGCAGTCACATGAATCAGTCTTGGCAACTGACTCATATTTATGACGGATGCAGTGTCTCCCGGGGGTCCTATGATCCCCTTTTGCAACCTTCTGACAAGCAAAGTTAAGGCGGAAGCCAGATTCACTTAATGACCGTGTTACTACATTTACAATTACAACGGAAAGGGAATCTTCCCGCACCGATTTTGTTGGCCACCCGATTTTTGAATCGTGACCCAATTCAAAAATTGGGTGGATTTTTTGTTCGCCGCTCGATATGGTCGCGAACAGGAGCATTCACCACCCCAGGTTCCACTCTGTCTGTTTCTTTTCTTCCTGGAAATGAGGAGGTCCTATTTCCTCCCTTTCCCCACAATTTCTTCCAGATTAATTTTTGATGGAAGGGCACTGGAAAATCTTGGAAAAAGGAAGAAAGAAGAGACTCGTTTGGATCCATCCTTCGGTTACAATTGCTCTTTGAAAAGCCTGCTTGCTATGACGCGACATTTGTGCAAGCAGAACTTGGCTAGAGCTTTAATCAAGTCCTTATTTTTCCGGGTTCCTAAAAGCACATTTGCCATGTTTACAGCAGCTGTGCCTTCTATTTGAGTGTCGTCCATGGCAGATATATTTGAATATCTTAGGCCTGAAGGAAATACTTGGCAGATGCAGAATGTCCATGTCACTTCAATTAAATGTATTGTCACTTACAGGTCTACGGCGCTGCTATTCAGTTCTATGAAACATACTCTGAGGAAAACCTGACAGAAAAACAGAAGTCTCAGCTGGGCTTCATGGCCATACCTAGCTCCAAAACCGTTCAGACTAACAAGTGCATCTGCCTGCTGTCGCACTGGCCGTTCTTCGATGCGTTCAAGAAATTTCTCACTTTTCTTTACCGCTATTCAATATCTGGTCCACACGTCCTTCCTATTGAGAAGTAAGTTGGAGGGGTGTTTTGTGTCCCACACATCATTAACGGTCACTGTAATACATAACTTGGATCGTTTCAATCAGGGGTGGGATTCTACCAGTTCACACCTATTCGCTAGTACTGGTTGTTAACTTTCTAAGCAGTTTGGAGAACCGGTTGTTGGAAGAAATCTCCTTTTGTTTTTTTCCACCCTTCTTACATTCTTGGCAGACAGCCTAGACTTATTGTCTCTGAAGGAGGTTTTTTTTCTTTTGGTGGTACTTTCTTAAAGGGGAAGGGTTGTTTTAAGCTTTTTACACTGCTGTTGGGAGGAAATACTCCCCTGTTGGAGTTAACATTTTGAAGAAATAATTGAATAATGAAGCAAAGCTGCCAAGAAGCTTTTAATGACAAGGAACTAACATGAGTAACATTCAGCAAGGCTTCTTGGCTAGTTAGAAAGATTGACATTCAAACGTGAGTTTACACACCCTTTTTGGGTTTTGTCTAAAACTGGTGACCATTCAAAGTTACAATGGCACTGAAAAAAGTGACTTATGACCATTTTTCACACTTACGACCATTACAGCATCCCCACTGTCATGAGAGGCCAGGTGGGGAGAAGCGCCCCTTGATGTGAGTGATGTCGAGTTGGCCACGCCCACCCAGTCACATAACCAGCAAGCCACGCCCACCAACCAAGCCACGCCCACAGAACCGGTCGTTAAAAAAATTGAATCCCACCCCTGGTTTCAATGGAAAGGACATAGGAGCCAGCCTACGCCCTTGGTATAACAGGTGCAAGCCTGCCTGGGGTCGCCCCAAATCCTGTCCCGCCCCCTCAAATTTGATAATTCTTTTTTTTTTTTAATTTCCTGGTCTGCAGCAATGCAAACTCGATAATGTGCAGCCCTCCTGAGCACCGTTTTCGCTGGCAGAGGCCTGCAGGAGGCTGTTGAGGCCGAAAACAGGGCCCAGGGGGCTACGCATGGCCCTCCCAAGCTCCATTTTTTTTGGCAGAGGGCTGCAGGAGGTTGTCGCAGGCACCGCAGGCTCCATTTTTTTGTTGGCAGAGGGCTAGCAAAACAACTAAAAACAAAATAGAAGGAGAAGTGTTTGCCCTTCCTTTTGCATTTGAGTACGCAAGAAGGTACAGGAAAGGAGAAAGGGAAAGAGGAAAGACAAAGAGAAGGAAGGGAAGGGAAGGGAAGGGAAGGGAAGGGAAGGGAAGGGAAGGGAAGGGAAGGAAGGAAGGAAGGAAGGAAGGAAGGAAGGAAGGAAGGAAGGAAGGAAGGAAGGAAGGAAGGAAGGAAGGAAGGAAGGAAGGAAGATTAAAAAGAGAGTGAGGGAGAGTCTGAGGGAAGTCCTGCCTTAGCACTTGGCCACCACAGGTGCCCCCATCATGGTGATGTCGAGCTGGCCATGTCCCCCTGGGTCCCCCCCCCCCCAGGGCAAACATCCCCCTGATGCGGCCCTCAATGAAATAGAGTTTGACTGCTCTATCCCTGCTCCAGGAATAGCTTCCCCGGGTAGCGGTGGGGAGACAGGGCTCAACAATGATACGATGACCTCTCTGTCAGGGATAGGAAAGGAAATATTTGGCTTTTTTGCTATTGCCTTTTAGAGTTTGGGGCCAAGCACAGGTCTAATCTGTCCATTTTTTATTTAACTGCTGTTATAAAAAGCCAACATCTAGAAGCAGGATCTCGTGTGTGTTTTTCAGCTGCAAATATTGACGGAATGCATACTGGCCATAGCCGAGTCCTCCTGTTTTTCTTTTCACACGATCGATCGTACTATAATGTGTTTGTGCAAAGTGTTAGACCAAAAATTCTTCAGATTACTGTTTATGACTCATCAAAAGCACACTGGGGATGTTTGTTCCCCAGTTTGTCTCCTCTGCTCTGCCTGCAGCTGAGACCTTACTAAACTGGCCAGAGTTTAGCTTTCTGTCTGAATCTAAGCCTAAATAAATAAATCTCTGCTTAGTTTCAAATGGGTTTAATCTTTGCAAGTTATAAACCGGCACCTTTTTGCAAGCAATAAACCAAGAGTTTGAAGAATATTCTCTTAGCTAGTTGAATGTGATATCTTTTTTTTAAAAAAACAATTTTATTAGTTTTTAAAAACAAACAAACAAACAAAACATAAAAACATCCAGCTTTCTTTCATAAATATACAAACAGTGTGTCGGTTGGTTTACCAGTTTTTGTGCATTCATTTCGTAGTCTCAATTAGAGTTACATTACATATTAACTCATATTATCAATCAAAAATTATATACCCTAGTATCACTATCAAACAATCATTTGACTATGATTTTGTTCATTCATACTTTACGAGATAACTATAATTTACTTAATTTATTTTATAACAAATCATATAATCATACCAAATCTATCCTAAAGACATTTTATAAATGTGATATTCAATAAGAAAGAAAAAAAAATCTCTTTATATATTCATTATTATCTAAAATTCTAAATATTCTATTATTGTATTGAATGTGATATCTTAAAAGCCTAGCAGGTGTTCTATAGACAAATGCTGATTTATTTATTTTTCTTAAGACAAAGTGATTATTCCCTCCTTAGGCATATTTCCCATTTTATGCACAAGGTTCCTTTTCCATCTCCACAAAGACCAAGGATTTTAGTTCAGGTAAGTGAACTACATTTATTCCATTTTGTTCATACATTATTCAGATCAATAGATTCTGCTAAAGGAATTATAAAAATGTTACAGGCTTGGAACTGCAAATTTGCTACTCAGTGCTGGAAGTCATCAAAAAATGTGTACAAGTCACACTTTTTATGTTACAAGGCTGCTTATTTGTCAGCTTATCTACTTTTTAAATATATCTAGGCCTGGGAGCAGTTAGTAAACGAAAATGATTGACTTTTTCTAAATGTTATCATTATAAAACAAAGCTAGAGTATCAGATACTAATTTTTAAAAATCTCATTTTCTAGAAATTTGGCATGTTAAATCTGTCCCCTGATAAATATTTCTGGATCACTTTATGAAAAACAAACCCCAGACACATTTGATATTGAACTCAAATTCTATTTTCAAACTTTCTTGGCCCTACCCAAAAATATATACCTTTTTTTTTTGCTATTTTAAATCATTTCACAATTCAGTCTGATCGGTGGAAGTTTTCCCTTTATGAAACTCAATTCTGTAGTAAAGTTTAAAAGCTGCAATGAATGTGATGTGGGAGGTAGATTGCAAAAAGATATCTGGCAGTTTTTAAAACATTCAGCTTGCATCTTTTTTTCTGGGCATTCCCTGGGATTTTTTTGGGGAAAGGACATCTGTAATAAATTATTTAACCAGTTTTATAAAATGTGCAAGCAAATAGAAGCAAAGTGCTTAAAGCTTCTTGAGATTCTGGAGTCAAACCATAATATCTATTTCTTTATAGTATATCTTTATACTTTTTTTTTTAACCATCATGTTTTTCAAGCCTACAGCAACGGTATTAATTCTGTGACAGCAATATGTTTTCTATAATCTATGCAAACAAATTGCTTTATATTTAAATCTTCAGGTAAATATAAAAACCATACTCTTATTGTTTTATAGCTATCACCCCATGATAATCTGATTCTTAGTCAGCCCATATCATCACCTCTACCGCTGAGGCAAGTAAAATATATGTGTGTGTGTGTATATGTGTGCTGTAATGTGAGGAATGGACAAACCAATTTAGAAATTAGTGAAGAACACAACAATAAATATATATATATATAAATATTGTCAGGGCTCCAGCAGTTACCCCCATTTAAATCATGAGTCTCAAGCCGAACTTCCAAAACTTAAAGAAGATTTATTAGGAGTAAACATGCCGGCACTGCCTGGGTGTAGCCGACTCTGAGGCACATCATTCATCGTCACCCTTGACCCTGGTTTCCCCCCCAACCCCTGGGTGTATTGTAATTCATATTCTCCAATGGGACACATCCATAGCCAAGAGTCATCAATCATGCTCTCCAATTAGAATTGTGCGTGGCAGAAACTTCGGTCACCTAGAAACTATCTTTGTAAACATTTATGGAATGCACTTTCTGTTTGCAAGCGGCTGCACTGCTCCCCCCTCTCTTTCTGTTGGCAACTCTAAAAAGACCATAGAAAATGTTTTATGAGTTGACAAATATATCAAGAAAGAATTAGATTCCTCTCTAATTGCACCTGGATTTACCTTGCTTTTCCCCCCTGCTTATTCAGGCAGCCCCCATACACAGGTAGTCCTTCACTTACCAATCACAATCAGCCCCAAATTTCCATTGCCGAGTGAGACAGTTGTTAAGTGAGTTTTGTCTCATTTTACCGCCTTTCTTGCCACAGCTATTCAACGAATCACTGCAGTCGTTAAGTCAGTCATACAGTTATTAAATGAATCTGGCTTCCCCTATTGGCTATGCTTGTCACATGACCCCAGGACACTGCAACCGTCATAAATACACCCCAGTCGCCACCTGTATGAATTTTGATCATGTGACAGTGGAGATAACTGCAACAGTTGTCATTGTCGTACAGATTGCTCTTGGCTTTGCAATCATTCATTTAGTGACCATTCCAAATTACAACAATGCTGAAAAAAGTGGCATGACCGTTTTTGGCACTTGGGACCGTTGTGCAACGTGATAAAAATTCGGACGCTTGGCAGCCGGCTCCTGTTTATGACAGTCGCAGTGTCCCGAGGTCACATGATCCTCTTTTGTGACCTTCTGACAAGCAATGTCACTGGGGGGGGAAACCAGATTCACTTAACAACCAGTTGTGTGATTCACTTAACAATGGGGGCAAGAAAGGTTGTAAAATTGGGCAAAAAGTTCAATTAAAGTCTCGTGAAGCAACATAAATTTTGGGCTCAATTGTAAGTCAAGGACTATATGATGCTTACTTTATCTCAGTGTTTCCCAACATTGGCCATTTCCAGGGAGGGGTGGGGACTTCAATTGTCAGAAATATTCTTCTTCTTCTTCTTCTTCTTCTTCTTCTTCTTCTTCTTCTTCTT